GGATTTTTTTTTCTTCGTTTTTTTGTCAAAACTTTGTCTACCTATCAGCATAAAAATTTTTGTCCTATACAAATTACACCGGAAGATATTCAACCGGAAGTGAACATCGTTTTCCTGTTTAAACCGGAAGTGAAATTGAAAATTTGACTGTACCATTTTGTTTACATTCTTAAACTGTCTTTGCTCAATTTTTTTCAGATTAATCAGACAAAAAGCAAAAAAAATGAAAAAAATGCAAAATTTGGCAAAAAAAATGTCTGCGACAAATTTTCGAATTTTGAAATTTTGAAACTGCTATTCTTTCAGAATTTAACAGTAGATTCCAAAAATGCAAACCCAAAGAAAATCGACCGAAAAATACGACTTCTAGAGCCGATTATCTATTCTTGCATATATTGAACTGTGGCACTTCCGGTTTTGCAAAAAAGATCCAAAATATATTTATGCACATCGTCGCCTATATCTAAGGTTCGTGAATGTTGAATGGTTGCTGCAACTATTGTAGTCTAAGCTCAGGAAGGTGTGTAAAAAAAAAAAAAAAAAAAAAAAAAAAAAAAAAAGAATTGACATTTCGATAACAAAGTGGGACTTTGCCGTAGCTAAGTCCCACAATTATATACAATAAGAACAAAATGATAATTCATTAGAAACACCAATTAATCAAATAGTTTGCTTAATTTGATTTAATTTAAAAAAAATAAGGAAACCCATCTTTAAATATTTGTATCTATTCTGACCACGGAACTGCCAGTCGACTCGAGCACACGACTCTGTACTGTACAATTCTTACATGACACGCTTTTATTGGTTGGAATTAATGTCATTAGAACTCGACTATGGTAGAAGACTTGTAAGTTTACAATATAGCCTAAAATATAAGGGAAAAAAGAAACGATCGCGAAATATAATTATCTATGCCCCCCAAAACAGCTATATTGCACAAACCTCTCACAGGCGCAACCGCACATCAATACTTGACTCTGAATACAGATGACGGTCCCAAACAATGTGACTTCTTACACTTTGTCACCCCTTCAAAACTAGGTCTTTATGTCTGTCCTGTTTTCCTTAATGGGACAGATGCGCCATTTTTTGAACAATTGTTTCTTAGTCTCAGAAACGTGATTTTTTTAGCAAAGCCAATCAGTAATAGTTTAACAGCTCACCATCGAAATTTGAGTTTTCAATTTGAGACACTGAAATGAAAAGATGAAAAGACACCTATAGAAATGGGAATTTTTAAGGAATTATGCAATTTTCGCCCATTTCTAGTACTTATGAAGACTATTTACATATATTAAAGACTCAAAACAACCTCCAAAAATGGCGCACCTGTATATACTGGGATAGTGTATATTCAAGATGTCACGTTGGTGCGTTTAACGTTTTGTTTTGTATATATGAACATACACTTGAATCATGTAAATATAATATATGGGTACGCACAACACCTCTAATATATATAAAGATCGTTTTGATTGGTTCCATACCACATACCGTCCTATATATTTATTGATAAGGGGGCGTAGATTAATGTTAATGCTTACGCTTAAGCAAATATTGACGTGACTTTCAGATCAGCCATTTTCGTGTGTTTATATTTTTCGTCGATATCCCTTTGTACACATAAGTACATGTTTTTATTGACTTAAAAAAAATCAGATCAAAATCGCAAAGTTACATAACCAAGGTTAAATCTGATCAATATTAGATTTAAAATAGAACATTGAGAAAATTAATTAATAATAATCAATGCTTTAACTTTATTCTTAATAATTAACAGGGGTAAAGAACCTGTGATTAAAGGGTTAGATTCGTCCATTTATTTCTTCTCTTAGACTGAAACATCGCACTCTATAAATAAGTCGGAACCAATTAGCTTCGAATAAGGCGATGAATGTAAACTAATCAAAATGACCTTTTTGAAATTGCGGCAACTCGGTGAAAGCGTCTTACCTTTCATGGAGCGACTGAAATTTTTTTTCAAAAAAAGAACATTTAGGGGCAAAAACGTATAAATATCATTTTTAAGGAATAGAGGTATAAATGGGGTGCAAACCCCTGAAGCTGTCACTGGATTAGATTAAATATGAGATTATTATGTCACTTTTTGTTGAAAGTTATGAAAGTCAAAATAGAGAAGAAATATAGTTATAAAACGTCCTCACCCACCGTCGCTGAAGGCGACCCTGAGAAATCTTAATGTCACGATAAGAATAAAATGAAATAAGAGTTCAATACGATAAGTTTACTTAATTACTAAGTCGAAGTAATTCCCCCCAGATTTCAAATCTGCTTTCGAGTTCAATAGAAAATCGGCTATAGCCCTCATCTAATTATTCTGATTAGACAAACATATGTCTTTAAGGTTTGAAGTACGCGTTCCGTCTATATTCAGTAAGATTCGAATGGATGTAAACAACTGAACGATCGCTATTTTTTTAAGTTCATACGAAAGTTCAGGACTTTCTTTTATCAATATACTATTGGTCTGGAAAATTAAAATGCTTTTACTCGACGTGTGGATACACGAACAGTCTTGGTCGGCGATTTTTGTCGCCGACTACAGTCTTGTCGATAATCACGTGCCGATCATGTAATTGAAAGGAAAATGAATCTGATTTCATGATGATTCTCTGTCTTGTAGACGATAAAATAATAGTCGACAAAAAAAAATCCTATACGAAACGCGATAATCTTGTCGTGAAAGCGCGGATACACGAGATTTTACTCAAGATTCGAGTAGGCGACAAAAATCGGAAACTGATAGTGGCATCCTTACGTCTCCCGTTCGTAACTTTTCATTCTCGATGTCTGAATTGTGGAATAATCGTGGCGATTCTATCAGTTCTTCTCAGATTTTGAGGACAGTTTTGACAATTTTCCTTACTGTATTTGACACATCGTGACCAGATCACACTATGTTGTAAAGTTACACTTGGATGTTTCATCAGCATGGGTGAGGTACTGGGCTATATACCTTCTAATCACGGGAAATGGTATTTTTCAGGTTCAAAAACGTTAAGAGATTAGATTTTTTGTTCCTATGGGCTAAATGGAATATAGCCAGCCCTATAGAGATTGAAAATGGAGTATTCTGAGCTTGAAAATCTATACAGGGACCAGTAATTCCCTTTAAGAAACCATTATAAAAGTCAGGCTGCTAATTATAAATAAAATAACTAAGTAAATAAATTAATAAATAAAACTATAGTCTAGAATGAGATTGTATTAGACAGAATGTTATATAACAATAATGATATCAATAACAATATATACAGAGTTATAATCAAACACAGATAGCTATACACATCTAAGGACCTTTCCTATCATAAACAAATTTCCTTGTGTGGCAAAAGAGCATTATAAGGATAATATTTTGTATCTTTGGATCCAACCTTCATTGACTCCAACTATCATTTGCACTTACTGCATGAAAAACATCAAAACACACCTAATGACTAAATCTCTGTGGATTAAACCAATAAGAAATGCGAAGTTGCTGTGTTTGTTATACTTTAACTATTTATGTTGTTTGGAATCGCCCCCAGATGTGTATAGAAATCATTTCTTGATATCAAATAAAACAAGCTATAACATGCTGAGTATAGCTAACATGGACAATGAACATAGAGTTATTTTCTACTGGAACACATTAGGATATTTTGATTTATAATTTTGGCAGTATGGTATAGACATATACTTAATCATGTACATGCACAAATCAGTCCATTTTCTACCCAGGTAAGCATGTTATAGTTTACCTCAAAATGAAGTGGACTGTCTTTGAAAATGTTATATTTCCATCTGACTATACGCACATAAACAAGTAGTGACCATTTTGATTCATTAAAAGAATGCATAGAATGACAAATTCTATCCTTCCCCACGAAGTGTAGTGGAGAAAAAAAGCAAGATTCACATTTCTTTTCATCTTCACAATGGCATACTTTTGTATCATTGAAGTTTGTAAATGCAGGGATTTGATTGGATTGTATAGCATAAGTTAACAGTATAAAGAAGATTTCTATTTAAATATTATCATTGTAATATAAATAACAGAAGGAAGACTATACCCTGTTTACTGAACACATTAATTATAATATTATTAACTGTATATAATTCAATAAATACAATTTCCTGACCCAACATGTATCTTTGATAACAATCTGGTGTCACTCACTACCAACAAACAAACTAACAGGGATTGTAAGGGGATTTGTCAAACTGTTTAACATGAACACTGAAAGCATAGTTCTGTGAGTCGTGCAATTTTATTGGTTTAAAAATTTATGACATCACTATCACAAAAGCCTTTGGGATAGTGATGTCATAGAATGCTTAGTAAGTGGAATTGCATCAACCACA